AGGGCTCAAAAGACAACTACCCAGTCTCTAAAGTATGACCATTGCTTAGAGCAGAAAAAGGGACGCGACCGTGAAGACTGCACCGTTGTCCGCAGAAAAACGAACGCGGCCACGGACCCTACTTGGAAATTCTCTGAACTAAAATCCATGGTCCGCAAAAAAAGAAGTGCGGTCGCGTAAAACAAGCTGCTGAAAGTGGAATTTCCATGTTGACCACGGAAAACAAACCATTTTTAACTCAGGACATTATATGAACACTGATCACGGAATTACGGCCGTGGCTGTGGAATTCAAAAAAGAAACGGGCTACCTAGGGTTTTCACTAGTATACAACTTAGGCAATTTAGGTGGTAAAATGAATATCCCTGTCCCTTATTAGGCATGCACAACAAGTACCCACATGAATTTTTAACATCAATGCTTATATAATGGTGATTAATCAAACCCTAATTAAAAAAAAATTTACAACTAAGAGAAAAGAAGAGTAAAAAAAATATAAAAGCAATGCGATGATTTGAGCATACCAGTGGTTTGATTGTGTGTTGGAACTAACTCCTGATTAGTGCTATGATATTGGGAGTAGATTAGAGGAGATGAACAATAGGCTATTTCTTTTGAGAGTGAAAAGTGCGAAAAGGGTAAAAGGAAGAGGGCCCTCCTATTTATACTAAAACCCTGAGGGCCCACACCGACCTACCTGGCGCGACCGTGAAATTCCACTATGGTCTGCGCTTTTGGATGATTTGAAGAGCTGCCTGTTCCATAACACCGCTGAGAGCGGAAAAGTGGACGTGGCCGCGGAATGAGGTCTGCTGACCGCGTAAATGCCACCACGGACGCGGTTGAAACTTCAGAGAGGTCACATTTTGGACTCTTCAAGTCCGCGTCCGCTACCAAATCACACCCCCGCGAAAAAGCTTCCACTAACCGTGGAACTTTGAAAACTTCACCATTTTTATTCTTCAAATCAAGAGCACCAAATGGAGTTACATGTATCACTTCAAAAGGGCCACTCCATTTTGACTTGAGCTTTTCCAGAAACAGTCGTATCCGAGAGTTGAATAAGAGAACCAAGTCACCCTCCTTGAATTCCTTGCTCCGGGCATACTTGTCATGTAAGTACTTCATTTTGTCTTTATACAAGGACGAGCTGGAATAGGCATTAAACCGAAACTCATCTAGTTCATTGAGGTGCTTTACCCGGAGATTTGCTGCAACATCCCGCTCAAGATTTAACCGCTTCAAATCCCAAATGGCCTTATGCTCTAACTCAACCGGAAGATGGCATGCTTTCCTAAATACCAACCGATATGGAGACATACCAATTAGAGTCTTATAAGCAGTCCTGCAAGCCCACAAAGCATCATCCAGTTTCCTTGCCCAATCAGTCCTATTTGCATTGATAGTTTTTGATAGTATGTGCTTTATCTCCCTGTTGGAGACCTCAACTTGTCCACTAGCCTGAGGATGATAAGGGGTTGATACCTTGTGATTGACACCATACTTTGCAAGCAAAGTGTCACATGCCCTATTGCAGAAATGAGAACCTCCATCACTGATGATAGCCCGAGGAGTGCCAAACCATGTGTAGATATTTTTCTTGAGAAATGCCACCACACTCCGGGCTTCGTTATTGGGAAAAGCCACTGCCTCAACCCACTTGGAAACATAATCAACATCCACCAGAATGTAAGTGTTGCTACACGAACTCACAAAAGGCCTCATTAAGTCTATGCCCCACATGTCAAAAATGTCAACCTCAAGAATAGTGGTGAGAGGCATTTCATCCTTCTTGGAAATTCCACTAGCTCTCTGACACTCATCACATCTCTTAACAAGCTCACCAGCATCTTTATACAAAGAGGGCCAATAAAAGCTACAGCTAAGAACCTTTGAAGCAGTTCTCGCCCCACAATGATAACCATCGTAGGGCGAGGAATGACAAGCATCAAGCATACTCATTTTCTCCTCTTCCGGAACACATCTTCGGATCATACCATCATTACAAATCTTGAAAAGATAAGGCTCATCCCAGTAATAATCCAAGTTGTCCCTTTTAAGCTTCTTTCTTTGGTTAGAAGAGAGCTCACTCGGGATAATGTCGGTCATAAGAAAATTGGCCACATCGGCGAACCAAGGCATATTATTCAAAGACACTGAGAGGAGTTGTTCATCCGGGAACACATCATTAATTTCGAGACCATCTTTGGGTCTCCCCCCTTCTTCCAAGCGGGACAAGTGGTCCGCCACTTGATTTTCACTTCCTTTTCGATCAACAATATCTAGGTCAAATTCTTGAAGCAACAAAACTCATCTCATCAATCTAGCTTTAGAGTCCTTTTTGGTCATCAAGTAACAGAGTGTCGCGTGATCAGTATGAGCAATCACTTTGGCACCCATGAGATAATGCCTAAACTTTTCCATTGCAAACACAATTGCTAGAAACTCTTTATCTGTCACCGTATAATTAACCTGGGCATCATTCATAGTTTTTCTTGCATAGTACACCAGATGAAATATATTCTTCACTCTTTTCCCCAAGACCGCTCCTACCGCAATGTCACTAGCATTACACATGAGCTCAAATGGCAAGCTCCAATTGGATGCAGTGATGATGGGAGTGGTAGTTAATCTATACTTGAGTAGCTCAACAACATTCATGCACTTATCTTTAAACACAAACTTTGCATCCTTTTCCAACAATTTTCACAAGGGATTCATCAGCTTGGAGAAGTCTTTGATGAACCTTCGGTAGAACCCCACATGCCCAAGAAAGCTCCTAAGCCCCTTGACGGAATTAGGAGGAGGGAGTTTTGAAATCACTTCAATCTTCGCTTTGTCTGCTTCGATACCATTCTTTGAGATCATATGGCCAAGGACAATTCCCTCCTCGACCATAAAGTGACATTTTTCCCAATTAAGCACTAGATTTGTCACTTCATATCGGCCCAACACTTTGTCCAGATTATCCAAACATTCTTCAAAAGAGTCACCCAAAACACTAAAATCATCCATGAACACTTCCAAGAAGTCCTTAACCATGTTCGTAAATATAGCCACCATACACTGCTGAAAGGTAGCCGGTGCATTACACAAACCAAATGGCATCCATGAGAATACAAAGTTGCCATACGGACATGTGAAGGTGGTTTTCTCCTTGTCCTCCGATGCAATAAAAATTTGGTTGTAGACTGAATACCCATCCAGAAAGCAATAGTAAGAACGCCCGTCAAGTCTATCCAACATTTGGTCAAGAAAGGTCAATGCAAAATGATTTTTGCGGGTCAATTTGTTCGGCTTCCGGCAGTCAATGCATACCCTCCATCCGGTGACAGTCCTAATGTGGATCAACTCATGTTGCTCATATGTGACCACAATCATACCCCCACCCCACTAACCCCACCTTTTTCGACACACATTGTACCGATGAAGTCTATGAACTATCCGAGATGGGGTACACAACCCCTGCATCTAGCCACTTGATAACCTCCTACTTGACGGCCTCTTTCATAGCCTCGTTAAACCTCCTTTGATGTTCCACGGAGGGTTTGGCATCATCCTCAAGTATAATCTTGTGCATGCAAAATACGGGGCTTATCCCCTGAATATCGGCTAGAGTCCATCCAATTTCCTTCTTTCCTCGTTGGAGCACCTCAAAGGTGGCATCTACCTACACGTTAGCTAAGCACGCAGAAAGAATAACAGGTAAAGTGGAACAATGGCCTAAGAATTCATACCTGAGGTGTGGAGGCAAAGGCGTCAACTCCAATACGAGAGGTTCCTCGATTGAGGGCTTTGTTGGTGGAGTATTTTTGTTCTCAAGATCCAAGGAAAGTTTACGGGGCTAATAGGAGTAAGAACCCATTCCTTGCAAGGCATTGACATACTCTACCAAGCCTTCATTCTCAGTCACATCATGGTTCAACAATACAACTTCCAAAGGATCCTCCACATTGATCATGGCACTCGTGTCATCAACTATCACCTCTGTCACCAGATCTACAAAAGAACAAACCACAGTACTATTTGGCTGCCTCATTGATTTGCACACGTGGAAGATAACGTTTTTGTTACCCACCCGAAAGGTGAGTTCCCCTGCTTCCACATCAACCAATACCTTCCCTGTTTCTAGGAAAGGCCTTCCCAATATTATCGGTACCTCATAGTCGATTTCTCAGTCGAGCAAAATCCGCAGGCAAAATAAACTTATCAACCCGGACAAGAACATCATCAATAATACCAAGCGGCCTTTTCATTGTTCTATCCACCATTTGCAATATTATTGAAGTAGCTCTCGGTTGACCAACACCCAAAGTTTTGAATACAGAGTAAGGCATCAAATTTATACTTACTCCCAAATCACACAAGGCCCTTGCAAAATCTGCAATTCCAATGGTACACGGAATGGTAAATGCGCCAGGATCTTCAAGCTTTGGAGCCATCGAGTGCACAATGGCAATCACTTGATGAGTCATTTTGATGGTCTCACAATCCATATATCTCTTTTTAGTTACCAAGTCTTTCATAAACTTGGCATACCCCGGCATTTGCTTAAGAGCTTCCACCAAGGACATATTGTTCGACAAACTTTTCATCATCTCAGTAAACTTTTTGAACTGTTTTTCATTGTTCTGCTTTGCAAGTCTTTGAGGATAAGGTGGAGGAGGCCTTGGCAAAGAAGCCTTGGCTTTAGGCATTACCATTTCTGGTATGTCTATCACATGTTCCCTAGATGGGTTCACGTCATTTTGAGTCTCCTTCTCATTGTCATGAATATCAATTCTCACCTCACCATTCACATTCTCTTCACTCACTTGCTCATCAACTATTGGATCATCGTTATTTTGCACTTCAACATCATCACTCACAACTTCCTTTTTCTTAGAGGTACTTGCTTCACCACCTCTACCGCTCCTTGTGGTCAACGCTATTGCATGACCGGTATTGTTCCCACCCTTCGGGTTTACTATCGTGTCACTAGGTGGTGCCCCCTTAGGGCGAGTGTTCAAACCTTGAGAAATTTGACCAAGTTGGACCTCGTTGCGGATAGAAGTATTATGGGACTCCAATTGGGCATCAGAGTCAGCGTTTTTCTTCATCATTTTCTCAAACATTGACTCAATCTGTCCCATCTCATTGTTGGACGAGCTAGGACCTTGGGACGAAAATGGAGGCGGATTGTTTGGTTGTTGAAGCATTGGAGGCCTTTGAAACCTGGCCCCCGATTACCTTGATTACCATTATTCCAACCCCCTTGGTTGTTGTTGCCACCCCAATTGCTATTGTTACCCCAATTCTAGTTGTTGTCCCCCCCATGTTGGAGTTGTTGTTGTTATTGTTCCAATTTCCTTGGCCTTGGTTGCCCCAATTCTTATTATTTCCTTGTGATCTCATTGATGATTTGGAGCATTACCCCGTTGTCCTTGATAGTTGTTGAAATACAAAACCTCTTCACTTTGCTCACCATACCTATCATCCTGGTTGTAACCACTACTACCTTGCTCATATTGATCTTGATTGCCTTGCATTTGTTGCCCATATTGTCTCCTCTTGTTTACCAATAGATTAACCCCTTCCATTGCGTTTACTTGCTTTAGTCCCTAAATCTGCTGAAGTTGTGCTTTGGCTAACTGGTTCATGGTTGTTGTCAACTCAGCTATGGCTTGTCCATGGTCTTGAAGTTCCTTGTGAAGATTTATGACATGCGGGCCCCCTTGAGGAACATTTGCCCGACTCTGCCAAGCTGAGGAAGTGTCAACCATCTCGTCAAGAATGTCACAGGCCTCGGCATAAGGCAACTTCATAAAATTACCCCCTGCTAGCTAGTTTACCACACATTGATTGGTCCTATTTATACCCCGATAAAATGTCTGTTAGATCATTGCTTCAGTCATATCATTGTTAGGGAATTCTTTGACCATAGTTCTATATCTAAAAGCTAAGATCTCATCCCTTAATATAGTCATATGTCCCGGTGAGAAAAACTTGGCTATAAACCTGTCGGCCAACTCATCCCACGTAGTGATGGAATGGTTGGGGAGTATTTCGAGCCACTCCAAAGATTTCCCACTAAGTGAAAAAGGGAACAATCTCAGTCTCAATACATCTTCCAACACATTTGTTTGTTTGCTTCCCCAGCAAGTATCCACAAAGCCCTTTAGATGTTTATATGCATTTTGATGGAGAGCGCATATGAAGTACCCTCTTTGCTCCAGTAAGGTCAACATGACATTTGTAATCTAGAAATTTCCCACCCAGATCTGGGGTAGGACAATTGCACTTGCATAACCTTCATTTGGAAGCACCCGAGGAGCTACTCGCGGAGGAGACGGGGGAGGGTCTGGAATATTTTCATTGGCCTGGCAGCCTCTTCTTTGAGCTTGAGGTACTAGAGACACCTCATCTTCAGCATTATCATCTACGTCCTCCCTCGGGAGAATATTTCTGACAGGATCATTATTTGCCATTTTGTACCTGAATCGATTAACTTACACAAGTTAGTAAAACAGAAAGAAAGAAAAACAAGACACACAACAAGTATGATAGATAGCCAAAACCATTTAACTCCCCGACAACGGTGCCAAAAAGTGATCAGCAATAACCCTGAACCACTATATAATGGCGAGGAGTGGGTGATGCAGCTTTTACCCGAAAGGTCTGGATCGATTGCCCGAGGGAGTTAATATTGGTTGGGAGTTGAGTTTCTATCTAATCTAGCTATGCATGTTGCTTTTAATTGCACTTCTAAATATGCTTGGATAGGTTTCTATTCTACTTTTAATGTTATCGATTGCTGAAAATAATCTATGTACAATAATTTTGTAAGGGTTTTCTGAATTGATAAAAAAGCACTAGGGAAGTGACTTACACCTAGGTGAGTATTTAATGAGATCTAAAAGTTAGGACAAACTTGTTATATTTTGGATCGTGATATACCCTTTACACATAATTACTCACTCTATAACTCTCGGTAGTTTGAGTGACTTTGCCCTAATTGGCTTTTTCAAGCCTAATTGGGTGTTCAAACAATGTAAGTAAAATTGCCTCAAGTCGGGTATTACTATCTCTAGGTTTAACCCTTTAATTGGGGCTATCAATCTCTTGAATGCACCCCAATTTCTTGTTAGCCTAATTTTTCTAGACTTAGTCCCTCTTTCTCAAGAAGAGTCTAAATCATAAAGGCACGAATCAGTGTTTGCAACCACCAATTCTACAATTAAAGCATGAATCAAGCTAAATATCACTAACCCATAAACAACTAAGCCCTAAAATAGAAGACCATTAAACACCCACACTAGGGTTGGGTCACAACCCTAGCTACTCATAATCAAGGTAGAAATAAAAGATGAAGATGAAATATAAGACATAAAAGTTGATTACAAGAATAAAATTTAAGAATATAAGCTAGAGTTGCTCTAAAATTACTCAAAATGGTAAAGTACAAATGATAACCTAAAAATGTGAAAAAGATCTATTTATACACATCTAAAATTATTGGACAAAAATACCCCTACGGATGTTCCGCTTGTTACATCTCGTATTTTCGTACGTTAAAATTTTATTTTTAGTTAACCGATGTAGACTCGGGGATGAGATCATCTTGACGCCAATGCATTTATGTTATTATAACAAGCAATAAATAATTTTTATGAAGGATAAAGGGGTACACGAATTAAAGAAAACGAGTTTCGTTGAAAGTGACCAATTTGGAATAAAATACGGGTTGAGCGATAATACTCGATGATTATCAACTAGTACCATGAAGGTACCACATGACCACAGTAGTATAATGTATAGAGTATATATATAGTATATTAAAAAAAATAGAATTTTAAGTAATTTGGGGTAAATTTTAATTTATGCGGGTAATAGGTTAATTACCGGGTAACAAGACATTACCCAGTTAACTAATAAGTGGGTAAAGATTTAATAATCTTCACCCACCCTCCCACGTGGCATAAAGCCACAATGGCAAAAGGTGACTCTTGGTCACTTTTGCCAGATGGCTATTAGATAATCCAACCAAACTATAACTTAAGTCAAAGTCTTAAAGACTATTAATCTTTAACGCAATCTGCCTTTGGATTTGGCTTGTAAAAGCTTCAAAACATCAAATACCTTTGGCTAAAAGCCAAGAATGTTGAGGCAGAAGCAAATAAATTCTTTCAATCCAAGCCAAAATTCGTATGATAAATTTCAAGAATGCAAGATTTCGTTCCTCAGTGGCTTGCGCAGGAGCTTAATCCGATTTTTGGGTTCTAAGTTCAATCCACAAAGGTTTCCGACAAAATAATTATATGGAGTTTTTCCTACTCCAGGTATGTTAAGGCCATCCCTTCATACTTTTGGCATGGTCCAAATTATACCGAAAAAACGAGAGAATGCATAGTTTCCATAAATTACTCTGTTCGTAAAAATATTAGGGGTGTCTATATTCTTGATTCCCCATGAAAATTATTATTATCTTCGGTTCATAGGTCATAGAATAATACGCAGTTGAAAAAGTTTATCTGAAAGGAATATTGATATTATTACGTATTTTTCATGCATTTCACTCATTTATACATGTACATTGACCCATGACCAAATGATGTTATATACGCGTATATATGTAAATATATGTATATGGGATATGGAAAAGGGCTGCGGCATTATATATGTACTACCACCTGATCAGCTGGTATATGTTATAATATTGCCCACAGTGGCCGAGACGATATGATGGGATGCCCTCAGTAGCTTGATGATATTATGTACACCCATACCTATGTATGGCATAACATTTATACGCACATGCATGACATTGTAAACGTTTCAGAATTTACAAAGTTATTCAGATTTAAAGATGTGTTTCCTTATTACATGTTTCATCTATGTCTTTTACGTACTAATTTTTATGCCTTACATACTCTGTACATTTTTCGTACTGAAGCCCTATTTCACGGGGCCTGCATTTCATGCCCGCAGGTGCAGGTAGGCAGGCTGACGGTCCCCCCTCTAAGGATCCCTGATCAGCGAGAGTTGGCATGCTCTACTTGATCCGGAGCTGCTTTTGTGATTTTGGTACGATACATTTGTGTATATATATATGGATATAATGTGGCTCAGTCCCGTCTTTGTACAGTTATGTTTCTATTAGAGATCTGTAAACAATATGTCTAGTTGGGTTGTATGTGGCCTTGTCGGCTTTTAGTTTTGGATGTATAATTGTCTATAGCAGCCTTGCCAGCTCACCTACTATATTCTGCCTGTATATGTACATATGCCTTGAAGAAAGGTTTCCTTCTTGCACGTTATTTTCGTAATTCAGCAGATGTTATTCAGGTTCATATCTTAGACGCATACTTAGGGGTGTTTGACTGGTAGGACTCAGGCACCCGTCGTGGACCATTGGTTTGGGTCGTGGCACCGTTGTCAGCAAAATACTGAGCACCTCAGTTCATGGACTTCTGTGACTGCGCAAAAACAAGCACGGACCACGTTTCTTCAAATTTGGACTGGGACTGGGTTTGGTTTTGTGGATATCGTAAAGTTTACTGCGTCAGCGTTGGCTTCTATAGCGGCCGCATAAAATGTTCGCGGACCACGTTCCTCATTTGAGCTCATATTGCAAGGTCTCTGATTCTCTATCTCGCCCTCGGCAGAATTTGCACTAATGTTGTGTCAGGTATTCCGCGGACGCTCTATTTCTCCGCGGTCAGCGGTCTCTGTTGTACCCAAAATGCCTTCTTTAAATCTCAATTCCGTGGACAACGTAATTGTGACTGCTTCAGCGGTGGACGTTTCGTGGCCGCTCTTTTCCTTCGCGGTCAGCGCTTTTATCTCAGCTTTGAACTTGTGCAAATTTAACTCCTTCATGAGTTGGTTATGGCTTTCTTGCCTCATTTTGACCAAACCCTACAGACAAGCACAATAAGTTAGTTTTCGGGAATACTTTTACACATTTTTTATCCAAAACCTATGTAATAGTTAGAATCAATAGTTATCAACTCCCACAAACTTAAGCTTTTGCTTGTCCTCAAGAAAACAAAGTAATTATCACCTTTACAAGATAAAAGAAAGAAAATTTTTAGCTGTTATAAGGTGACTTCATCAAGCATCAATTGGGACTAACAATTACCCTCAACACAAATGTATTATCAACAATACACAACCTTTTTAGCACCATGCTCTAGTGCGACACAAGAGCATCAAGAGTTGACTTAACTTATCAAGGAAGCTCGCTCTACTACGTAGGTCGTTGTGGAACCCAAACTCTTTCTCTTCCATTCTCCATAAGTAAATCTCACTTAAGAATTAAAGCACTCAAAACAAGGATTGTGAAGAGGCACACTTGTCTCTCACAAAGGAATGTCACAAGTCCAGATTTAAGTACCATAAGCTTGCCCCTTATGCGAATCACCACTAATATAAGATCACTCAACTCAAAATCATATAGGGCTTTTGCGGAAATGTAATGAAGGCTTTTGGTTCAAGGTAGGATATATCAATTTATCCAGATTTCATCTTTCCTTAAGCACTTCATTTTCTCATTTCGGCTCACACTTTCTTGACGCTTTGAGTCATTTTCTTTTTCCTT